GTAATGTTTATTTCTATATGGGCTCAAAGCTGCGTCCAGTTGTAACACCTCTCAGAATCATTTTTTGACATGTCAGAAACATTATCATCCAAACTGCTTTTTCTTTTCTGTAAAGAGTGTTTGGGGGCCAGTTAGCCATTATTTGACAGATTAAGTGGGACATGATATGTGGGGAGGAAGAGTGGGGGATGACATCTATCAAAAAGCATTAGTAGTGGGGATTCAAAACTGGGACCAGCTGAACTATACCAGCGCCCCAGAGGGAAGGCACATTTTCAGGTATTGCTCAATGGTATACTCGTAACATGAATTAAGAGTTTCAGGTTGGCCGGTGTTGCACAGTCCAGATTTGAAGGCCCCTGGGGAAAATTATAATTTGTGATTTCGTGCTACATATATTAATTTTTTTTTTTTTTACCCAAGCGAAATACTTCATAGCGTTATGTTTTTAAATATTGAATGGACTATGTAATAATACAAGTCAGGTAATAAAATGTCACAGCATGTTGTATTATTTTCATTCCTTGGGGATATTCATCATTCTTTATTCTTTAGAGAGGTACACAGTAGTCCTCAATGTGTGTGGCACTGCATTATTTTAAAATCTAAATAAATTGCTCCTACTTACTGTTCCAGTCCAACACAGGGGGAGAACCACTTTAGCTTGGCAAAAAAAACAAATAGTGCCCAGCAACAAACACAGCAACATATAAATAAACACACACAAACACACTGATATTACATTATTCATAGCACTGCAGAGAGCTCTTACACAGCGCCCAACAAACACACAGAACACAACCTGCTGTAATACACTGAGTGTTGACAACATCAGCAAGATTGTCTTACACAGAGAGAGACAGAGTGAGTGAGATAGGGAGAGGGAAAGAGAGAGGGAGAGGGAGACTAAATGCATGTGTGTGCTAATCACTTAGGTAGAGCAAGATGTTAACATACGTTAACACTGAGGAGGGCACTTATTGAAATTGTGTGTGTGTGTGTGTGTGTGTGTGTGTGTGTCAGTGTGTGTGTTTGTGTGTGTGTAGCTGGAAGGAAGAGAGTGCCAAGGAGGGGAAGGCGCCTATAATTCTTTATACGGTTATTAAATGACAGTACACCGTGTTACAAGCACCCACATTAGTATAACATGGAAGAAGACAATAATTTACAATAGGACTTTTTTAAAGTCAGCACCACACAACAACCTCTCGAGTGTAGACTATAAACAACATATTGGCGTAACAGCCTAAAGAACAATGCTCATCTCCATCTCTAAGGTACCAAGACGAAAAAAAGAAGAAAAAAAACCTAATGGAGATAAATTGTGTAAGGTGACTTGAAGAAGAAAACCTTATTTCTCTGCCCTCCTCAGCTCTCTCTCTTTCTCTCTCAGCCTCTGCCTTCTACACCTTTAGAGTAAATCATCAACACAAGAAGCTTCATCAATAAAGAGCATGAACATATCATATGCCACAAAAAGACATCAGTTAAATATAAAACAGTAAAAAATTACAGAATATAAGAAAAAACCTTAATAAGCAATGCATGGGCTTTTGACAATCACATATTGACTAAACATTTCTTTCTTGGGAATCTAGTTCTCCTGTTCATACTGCCAAATCCTCACGCATCATGTTTGATATATCTTAAAAACGGTCTTAAATCCTTTGTCTTTGGATTGTCAGTGTGTAAATCAATGAAATGTTCTTTGTAAACGTGGGCTTACCAAGAACTTCTTTACTGTAATCCAAACTAAATGTGCCTTATTTGAATACCTCTAAGTAATTATTTGTGATTTCCCACGAAGTATAGTAGTTGAGTTTGTGATGCTTAAAGTTGATTAATGCTTTAACAGACAATGCTGTTTTTGTAGCAAAGATGAAATCAATCAATTAACAGATGGACTCCAGAATTTTTATTGATTTTGTTTGTCACTCCTCTGCATGTCTCACAGACATTTGTAATCTAATTGATTTGTGCAAAACTTTAAAAGCAGATGTGTCTAAGTCACCTGGATTGCTGGCATAGTGCAGGTTTTAAAAAACACTTAAATTATAGTTTAAGTATGATAGACAGAACTCAGTAAGTGAGAAATACATGCTAAATTGAAGAGGTCCATGTGGAGGAGCACGGCAGTCGAAATCCGTGTTAAAGGTTTTTGTTAGCTGCTATTTGATGAACTTCAGCGTTTCTGTAGTACTTTGATGCTCCAAACTTCATCTAATACACGGATGAAGGAGAAAAGTATCATTGTGACCAAAAGCTCTGGGTGGTGAATAGGTCTTTTATTCCTGTCTCACTGAAGCCCTTCTTTCAGGATAAATAATGTCTTCAAGTGAGAAGTGTTTGTCACATATCTGAAGTTGGATTGGAGTTATGGGCAATCTGAGGACAATGGTAACATGCTACAGTGACTATTTGGAGAGCTCATGCCACAACAGATCATTTAACTATAAAGTTTAGACATTTTGCAGTGCTCTTGTTCCCTCTTGAGTTTCAAAAACATTACATTTGTGCTGCTGGTTGTCCACTGGTTAGTTCATGTGCCCCAGGTACAGAGGAAGTAGTTCTCAAAGCGGGCGGCCTGGGCTCAAATTCTACCTGCAGTACCTTACCTGCATGTCATTTCTCACTTTCTCTCCCGACTCTATACACTTTCCTGTCCCTCCAATAAAGGCATACAAGCCTAAGAAATAAAACATTACATTTTATGTAATAATAAATGAGCAGCCAGGGAGGGTTCAAGGTTGACAAAGGTCTGAGCTGTGGTTATTGATGGTATTTTATTAAGAAAACACAGATAATTCAAACCTGACATCCATTCCAGCCTAGTCAAGCAGCCATAGCATTTAAAAGAGCAGGTGATGTAAACTGGGAATTGAAGCATTAGCTTGGCAAGCCACCGCAGTCTTTCTCCCTCGATGCCCCAGGCGCTCCAGTGGTACCTTGTGCGGAGCATTTTAATAACAACGCTTGTTTGAATCCTGGAACAATGAGCAGGGGCTGCATTTCAGGGCTGACATTGCAGTAAAATGCCATCACATTGCCCAAAGGGCTGAACTTAACCCAACTGTGAAATCTGCTTCTTACAGAAAGAGAGAGACAGAGAGAGAGAGAGAGAGATAGGTACAAAGAGCTAAGGAGGGATGGGAGGGATGCAAATTATTATAGCATATGTACATTGGTTAATAAGAACGCTGATGTATGACGACCGGGATGTTTTTCCGTGTTGGATATAACATGAAGAAAACACAGAAAGCTCATGTTATTGGTTAAAGTTAAATTGCTAAATATGAAAATTAAACACAGTAGCATGCTGTCAGAGTACAGAGCATATTCATATTTCCCAAATGTTTATCAAATAACCTCTTTTGTTAACTTCCTACATAATTGGATGCAAAATACCCTATCATCTGAATAAAGAGCAAGCCTCAAACAATACCTGTCTCCCACATTTCTGAAAATGGGGAAAAAAACAATAAAGAGACAGGCATGAAGTAGCCACTTTGGTCATTTTACAGTCCCGCTCTAATCACAGCTGAAGTTTAACCCCTGGCCTGTTGATTGCAATGCAGCTGTGAGTGCAGCTGGGAAACCTCGCAGACCAATGTCACAAGATGAATTGTAATCAGCTCTATAAGGACATCTGGTTCTGAATGGTGGCAAAAAAAAGCAGTTTGGAATCGTTTTTCAGAAGAGCACCAAGCGAAGCTGTGTTTGTAATAGTGTTAGATTGATTGATCATTTTTGAGAGGGAACCAAAAGTGCACTCAGCCATCTAATTTGCTTCAATATTTCCATCTTTTGTTCATCATCCTAGTTTGGTTAAAGCAAAATAAGAGTACATTCTCTCTGTTTTAATCTAATCAAAAATCAAATCAAATTCAGCCAGATATAGATAAGACAGGGTTTGTGTCCACCTTGGATATTTCTTTAATTACCAATGCCTTTATCATTTTATACCATATATATTGTATCTTAATTTGTCAGGATAAAGTCATATGGCTATATTGTTTATTACAATGTTCTTTTTACATTTCTCTCTACATTAATTTGATGAAAGAATAGTTAGATTCTAAGTTTCTTATTTCCAAGTACCTTTGAACACATTGTAGATTGTATATTTACTGCAGACCACAGACAAGTGAACCTTTTTATCTGGCATCAGGCCTTTTCATTGGTTGAAAATAAATTGCATTGGATCTCCAAAGAGGTATGTTTTTTATTCACTACTATGGCACCCTATTGAGTGTTTCTACCAGCGATAACCCATAGGAGAAGATCAAACCGAGGACCGAACTACCTCAGCCAAGATTTTCCTGATGCACCAAGGTAGACCCTGGGACAGCGGGTGGTAGATCGGATCACATACACACAAACACTATCTCTGTCACACCAATATACACTCACAAAACACTTCAATTGACAATTATTCTGAAGTATTGACCTGAACTTGGGACTAAACCAAGCCAAATGCTTCTTTTTATGAAAAATCACCTCCCCTTGTGCATTGCATAAACACACATTGAGTGTTTGGTTTTGTTAAATGTTGATGGGAATTTTAAGACAAAATGCAACCATCCAATCTAGCAACTGTGATCTCTTTCTTAACATTTTTATTTTACTTGTTCCCATCCCTGCACATCAATTTTTGCCCAGTCCTACACATAGCCTTTAGTTCCTGTCTCCTGCTTACTACCTTCTTCCTGGTGATCCTGTTCTACTCCCTCTTCCCTTCGTCCAACCTGATCTCACTTCTTATCAGCCCTGCATTTACCTGACTTTCCCCAGTTACCTGTCTCAACCTTTCAAATCAGCCTCCTTATTTCCTGAGTTTCATTACCAGTTTGTCCTACTAGCATGTTCTTTGAAACTGTCTTGCATTGTGCTCTACGCAGATGTTTGTCACCCAAACTGGTACTAGCTTGCCTGCCTCCTTCTAACCTGCTGCATTTATGGACAGAAGCCAAAACGAAAAACAGAAAAGTTGGTAAACTCACCACTACATGATCCATCAATCTCCTCATATCCAACGCTGCAGACACATTTTCCCAGGGGAACCAACCAGTCTCCATCAGCTCCACAGAACAGTTTTGGTGTGTCTCTTTCTTCAGCATGGTCGATACACGCCCCCCTTACCTCTACCAATGAGGAAGAGTCAACACGAGGAACTGTGTCTGGAAACGAGGCCAGGTTCCTCAATGTGAATGGACATTTCTTATAGTAAACCCTCACTGAAACCAAGGCAATGCAGGCACCGATGTCCTGGAATGCCAAATAGAAGCCCTTCCTGGTCATGGGCCCCACCTCTCGCACCTCGGTGTTGAGCTTGAGGATACGATCTCCCAGATCCATCTGGGTGAAGCTCTCATCTGCAGCAATAGTGTCAATCTTTGTGTACTGGGCAGGCTTAAATTTGACACCATGAGCCTCATCAATCTCATGGTAGAAGAGGTTAAAGGTCTCCTTACAGGTGCCAGACACCCAAGGAATGGAGTTGCAGTCTCGCAGGGTGAAGCGAAGCTCCACATAGATCTTCTGGGCTGCTTGTCGAGATATCCAGTTGGAACGAAGCCAGTTGTTCTGGTTGGGCTCCATCACATTGCAAACCTGGAAAGTATGGATGGGCCGGTTGTGCTCATCCATTTCGGTGATGGCGTCCCACTAGGGGGAATCAAAAGAGAAAAGACCGCTATTAAATTGTGAGTCTTAAAGGCATCAGTCTTCAATGCAATGGATTTGGACAGAATGAAGAATACTCTAGGCTTGAATCCAAATTGTATCCTGATTGTTGCGTCTAAGTGTAGGCTATGATTTAATTGAAATCCTACTGGTTGATCATTTTCACAGCAAAACAAAAATAAAATAAAACATTCAAATCTCTCTGACAGATGGCTTTCATGTAAAGATTATATATTGGCCAGGAGAGTGATGCTTAAGGGAGAAGATGTGACAGCATCACTTTTTCAAAACATGTTCATGCTCAAGTAACAAAGCCCCCTAGTGGTCTAAGTAATTATGACAAGAGGAAGAGAGGGAGTCCGTTTAGCCTTTTGGAAAACAAAAGGATGTAGGATGAAGCACAGGGTGGATGGATGGGTCAGCAAAGCATTGGACTGTATAGCGAAAAGGACTGCTTTAAGACATGCTGTATTCTGAATATTGTATGTGTTGATGTAACCATCAGGTCCTCTCATGTTTTTTTAACCTTAACCCTAAATCCTTAGGGGGATGTAAATACATCATCAGCCTGTCAATAAATCCTTTAACAGATATAATAATGTATTTTTTACTTGGAAAACCACACTTTTATGATATGAAGCAAGTTTGAAGGTTGATCAAAGATTTGGCTTTTCGAAAGATCATATGAATGGTAAAATTTGGATCAAACTAGGTTCAAACTGTTCTCTCAAGACTGGCAGTAAAAAATCTCTTTCCTTCAGGCCTTTTCTCTTGGTCTTTTCTCCAATCTTTTTCTACTACTCCTACTCCTTAAGGTTTAGCTGATGATGTCTTACTCAGGCTGCTGAGTCATCGGGCCCTCAAACTCCCAAGTCACATGATCAGGGCGAATGGCAGCTTTGCTGGGTCATGAGGTTACCTGTCCCAATGTTGATGGGAGAGAAGTTAATGGAGGTTTTTAGCCTCGTGGTCTTGCACAGCTCTCTGGTTTTATTAGAGTGGGGACTGGCTACATGGGCGACCCCAAAACCAGCCAGCATCGACCTCCAAGAATCAAATTACCTGCCTGGGAAAAAGGGCTCTCAAATCACTTTGCTTACAATGCAGCATAAGACCCTCAACAAGCTGCAGAGTTTGCCTTTGTGTGTGTGTGTGTGTGTGTGTGTGCTTTAGTTTTTGACTGGTTTCAGCCATGTCACTTGTACTTTAGATTGGGGTATGATTAAACTGTTGCAACCTTTACAAATTGTATATAATTTAATAGAATTTGAATTTAAATACCTTGCATGAAAAAACAAAAAACATGGTGCCTGAAAATGTAAGCCAAAAAATAACAGCATATGATCGCAAAATAAAAGTCCATTAGTATTACCCTGTCTTTTAATTTGGACAACACAATTCCAAACCCAGCCTGGGACTCGCGTGTAAAAGTAATAAAAACCCAACACTGTCTCCTTGTATGAACCATACTCTCTAATCAACATTGTTTTCACACAGACAAAGCATGCCATGCAGGTTAGGAAAGGCCCAAAGCATAAAGCTATTAATTAAAAACTAACACATTCATATGATTCTCATTCTGTGTTTAAAAGTGAACCGACTTCATCAAATACACTCACAAAGGCACACACACACACATACACACACTTTAATTCCCCATCCTCGAGGTCTGGGAGGAGACATTCTCATTCTAATTAATGGCTGGAAAACAACTGCTTTATAGGCAAACACAGTCCACTGTTGTGATTGAGCCGATGGTTAATTTACCAATACTATTTGCCTGATAAGCTCGCCCATTTAATAAGCTGTTTTGCACTTAGCTTAATATTACCTCTTGATGAGAGTAGTAATCAAAGCCTAATGTTTGCACTCACATACTCATTATCCTTTTTTAATAACATGTTCTAATTCAATCATCCAAAGACGACAGGCTTTAATCTGCTTTTCCCTCAAGGTGTAATTGTAGCATTACAGTCCAACAAATTGATTTTGATTCGATGTGATATTGCCCATAAAATGAATTCTGCTGGGATAGGTAGATGACTCCTGTACATTCATAGTAAAAATAGTCTTTTTTTTTTTTTTTTTTTTTAAAGTAGGTCATGATTATCGCAGTGGAAAAAAAAATCTAGAACTATAGTGACTCTGTCCAAATGTTAAACAATCTGCTACAAGCACCTCTAAATATCCCGATCAAAATGTTTTAACCCATGCAAAAAATGCATGGTAAAATTCACAATAAAAGATGTTATGAGTTTGAGAAATATAAGAGGCATTACACTAATCTTTGGTATATCCATGTTCAGAGCTTCTAATCAAACACAAAAAACAGTCCCTTAACGAGTGCATACAACAAATGTTGCAACAAGATTAATATCATGATATAATGAATAAAATGGGATTAACAGACACTAGTCATGAATGAAAACAATCCTTACAAACCATTGTAACTTGGTAAGCCTTGCATTCAAATAAATAAATGCATAACAAAATCGTAAGTTAGGACAAAAAACATGGAACACACCGGAGATGGGGATTTGAGTGAGACTCAGACTTGAGTCATTCTTAAGTCGCACACTAATGTGACTCCAGACTCGACTTGGACTCGTGGTTCAGGACGCTGTTGTATTTACATACAGGCATGAGGCGGTCACCCAGGTTTCCTCATTCGGTTGAGGCGCTGCCTCAAACCCCAAATGTTTTGAAGAAGCCCCATATACGAATGATGATAAAAAGAGCATGAGCAACTTCTCTGCATTCCCCCGCTTCACCCCCTCTCCCCCTGTCTAACTCGGCCACTTGCTGAAACACACCGTCCTTGAGACCTACTGGACTAGACCTCAGAGACTTGTGCCCATCTCTGGAACACACAAGGGCAATGGTATAGGACTCATGCAACTATTACAAGCAACAACAACAATATATTGTTACTTTTCGCCAAATAAGTGTTTACAGATTTTATGCTGAAGTAGCTAACTTTACAGATCTGCCATCTGCCTAACCGTCATCCACATTCTTAACCAAATACTAACTTTAATAATCCTTTATAAAAATGTACTCTCTTATTTTCTTTCTTCACAGCTTTGCATATTCTGACTGATCTAATTTTTGCTGGCTTTCTTTACACAGATGCTCAACATGGTCAGGCAATTGAACGTGTACAAGTGTAAAAAGGAGCAGATTCTATGCCCCCTTCAGGCCTTTTCAATTTGCACACTTAGTACCCTGTTGACCTGCTGAGGTGTCTGTAGGAGTGAACATGCATGAGCACCCTTGAGCTCAAAGGAATATTTCTTTTAACTATTATAAGCTCTGAGGCTGGGGAGAGGTGCTGCAGAAACAGATATTTTTCCATAGTAAAAAGGGAAATGGAGCTGACACTTTCACATTAAAAAGAGGTGACTGGTTTAAAAGGTTGTCCAAGCATGTCTTAATTGGGGGTCCAAATTAACATGTTGCCGTGCAGGGTGGTTGCATATATCAATGCCTTCATGCTCAGGGCTAAAACAATAAGAAAATGTGTGTAGTGAGTAACTGTAAAGCACTGAACAAATCCATGTGAATGTACGTACTGTATGAGAACTGAACCAACTGAAACACCTGCACACACAAACACAGATGAAGGTCAGGCAATGCCCTCAGCGTCTCTACCAAGGAGACTTTTTATAGTGCATTAAAGGATTTGAGATCTAATGCATTAGAATAAAACTGAAAATATCCGTCTTGCATTCTTTATAGCAAAGTCATGTGTGAGAGATGTGGGAGACAGAGAGACACAAGATAGATAGAAAGAGACAACGAGGAGATGGAAAATAGAATATGTTAAGTATCTATTGGGGGTGCTCTTGAGAAAAAGTATTCTATCATTAAATACAAGGGAATTACTTCCGCTAGGGAGCAATGAAATGTGTTAAAATGCCATTGTAGATAAACTGTGGCCAGAGACAAAGGGTAGAGGCAGAGGTATCAGTGTGATTTGTCCCAAAGCAGGAAAACAATCCATCGTGATAGGAACACATTGCTGCTCGAATCCCCATCTCAACACCATTCACAGCTGATCTAAAGGCCTCCGAGACTTCCACATCTTGTCAGCTGGCTGATATTGTCAAGCAGCCCTGTGGTGGCAACGCTTTAAATTAAGTCATTCTGCAGCTTGGCATTTGCAAGAGCTGGGAATTAAGTTTGTCTTAATTGTTTCACAAGCAATGACATTAATGTCCTCTTAGCTCAATTCAATTTAAAAAGAAAGTTCATTGACAGTATGACACCAAAGCCTCTTTGAAATCACCAACCTGACAGGGCGGAAGTCACCTGAGAATATGTGTGTGGCATATTTGTTATCTGGATGTGATCTAACTTCTTTCTCAAAGTGCAAAACTTTTATTGAAGACTTCCCCTGGCCACCTCACCACCTTCCCGTCAAGCTTTAATATGCATAATTGAAAAACGGTCAGAAAAGAGTTTGATTGATTGCAGCCTGAGACCAAGGCCCTTATAGCCCATCTCTCTCTTTCTCATGAAAGGGAGCCAGTCATTTCACTGGACACTCGCCCAGAGGTTGAGCTCCTTTTTAAAACTGTGAAAACCAGAGCCTTACTGAGAACGGCACCTTTAACTACAGTGTCGTAACTTGCACCACTCGTCCTCATCGAATGAAACATTTAGCGATCCTAGATGTCGCGCCACTTTGTTAGGTTTGAGGTTGTATAAAATAATTAAACCCAAGTCTATGTCCCTTTGTGTGAATGAAGGTGTGTTATGACCTTCTATCAAATAATTACTTTTACAATTACTGACAGAAACCAGTGGGACAGGTTAAGCATCGCAGCTGTCAAAGGTTTCTATCAAACTGACAGAAGATGTGTTTAAATCATTAAGGGTACAGTAAGCAGGCAGTCAGGAACAGGGGGACTCTAGATCATGCTTTACTCATACATGTTTTGTTGTTCAATTCAAACTTAGTAGTGGAGGAAGAGCCGTTG